TTAATTAGAGCACACTTTAAAGCTCACGCGCCTCTGAAGACGTCTGAACTCCAAACGTGGGCATCACATGAGTTGGGACACACTGTGCACATAACGACTATCCGACGCATCGTCAAGGACGAAAGAACAACGATCTCCTACAACATACAGGACGAGTCAGATAAGACTCGAAAGAACTCTCATCGCCCGCGGTTTCCTGACCTTGACATGGAGTTGCACTGGGAGCAAAAATTGAGGGATCTCTGTATTGGGCGAAACTGAAAAACGTAAACTCGCACTTAACGTAAGTCAATGTTTATGATGACTGTCGATAGGCTGGACTCCAAACTTTACATGGCAAGAGCTGGACAAGAACAACGTCGAAGCATGCGTGAATGTGTTGGACTGGAAGTAGTGAAATGGCGCAGACGTTAGCCCTGCGAACACAAGATTTTTGGCTGTGGGGTGGTTGCATCGACCAAAACCAGTACGACTCGGTTGCGAAATGCTACTTCACGATTGGCGGGAGTTTTCTAAAGATACTCCATATCGCAGATTCAATCCAAAGGCGCGAGACGTCTTTTTGCATAGGATGGTTTCACCGCGTCCTGCATCAGGCGCTAGAGCGTTCCAAAACTGGCTGGTCGAAAGGCCAATTACAAACAAATTCATCCGCTGAGTTGAGCTCAACACCTCTACAACTACTACAAACTCTCCCTCTTAGCAATGACATGCAACATTCGAACGAGACAATCGTGTGGACACGGAGGTAGACTCTGCACGACGTTAGCCATCAAGAACGCACGAAGAAATCGAAGCATCGATTCGCTCAGTACCCTTCTGCAACAGCCAAACAATGCAGGCATTGTCTAGCAGTTTCCTCAGATGGGTTAGGATCATCTGCGTGCAGGATTGAGGTTTCACCGTCGTTTCGGAAGCCATGGCTAAGTGGAGACATTACTTTCATCAACATGTACAACTACATACAGTACATGTCGACGAAAAACGGCGCTACAATGGAATGTCGAGATCAACTATGTTTTTGATGACAAAGAATTGGCAGTGCGACCTGAGACGTCGAAGGCCTCGGCAGCTGCAGGCCGCCCTCCCTACGACTTGACGACGAATATGATTCGACGGCAAGATTGGAGTTTGGCCATTCGTTCAGCGCTTTTTCCCATCCAACATGCAAGTACCACCCGAGAGGCACCATAGTGCCATCACCAGTCACTGCCAGTCGCGGCATGTACTTTGACGTACTGTCTGCAGGGTCGTTCCTGCGATTCAAGCGAGGTTTCAGTCGGTTTTCGTGGCGATACCGTCGTTCAACAAGACAAAACTGCTAGTCCTCATTGCTCTGTAACCACGGACATGCTTGTTGGGTCAGCAATTCAACGAATCAAAGTTGGGAACCAACCTGCATAGAGCCCAAAACATCGTAAAGATTGCAATATATTTCCGTTGAGCGATACGTGCATCTAGCATTCAATAAAAATTCAAGATATTTTTCATCATATGAGAACCCTTTAAGCAAGTAAAATCCATGGTGGGATGTGTACTGAATTGCTGCCGCTGGAAGTATCAATGGTGGCAACAGTGCAGTTTCCGGTGCAAATGCCACACACAGGGAATGCTCCATGTTGGATCCATGCATGGAAGGGACGATTTGTCGCCTCTATTGAGAGCAGTCTGGCAACGACGATTAATCTCGGCTTTGCATCAACGAATTATGTCTCGAAGCGTCAGTTAAGGCAGTAATGGTTGATCAGGCGCGAGTTGTTCTCAAGTCTTGAGACGTCCACGTGCAAGTCTTCATATGAACTGACTGGGCCCCTGATTCGCGTGCCTTCTACATTGAATTCTTCCTTCCCAAGTACTCTCCAACGTACTCGATGATCTTGGCGCCTCGATTCACGTCACTGTCAATGCGCAACCCGTAGGCCGCTGATATCATGCGGCTCCGTAGTCGATTGAGCCCTCGACCAAGCGTGGTGCACCATGTCTTCTTGCCCTGGGGATCGTGACATATTTTCTGCGGAGTACGTACTGCGGAAGAGTGTTCCAAACGCACCGAGATGTTGGAATGCCTCGACACGGACACTTTGTGACTTGCAAGAGCCATCAAGGTGAATGTTCCGCGCCGCCTCCAGGCGCAGGACTCGCAAGATTCGTACGCCGCCGACAATGTTTTCGCCCAGGGATCAGCGTCAGCTGAGCTCGGCACGGACTGACGACATTCGTGATGCAATAATGATGGATGAATGGAAGTCGGGACCATCGGATTAAATACAATCAAGGTGAATGTTCCGTGCCACCTCCACGCGCAGTACTCGCAAGATGCGTATGCTCCCGCTTCTTACCAATCACACTGATCTTGACATATTGCATAAGTCGAGTTAATAACACGGTCGAGCATCAAGATTGTAGGTAATCCGACGGACGACACATGCATGGAAATCGAATGATCGATTCCTTCGGTGTTGGACTGGATTGAGGACGTTCCTGGAATGGCCGACGGGGCATACTTCCAGTGAAGACAACACTCTCAGCAACAATCATCAACTCATCAGACCGCTAGGACACGAGCCTCTACGAAGTACGCAACTCCAGGCTATCAAGCACCACGAAACTATCCTGCCAAGCAGCATGCGTAGAGTTTGCGATTGGATAAATGCTCAAGGCGGCAAGGAGCTCACGACCATGCTCAGCACCATCATAAGCCTCGCAGGGTTCACCTACCACGACCCTCGTGCAGTTGATGTATTTACACTGATGATATGAAGGTGATCGCTATGGCAGACTACCGATCTGCTGTTATAGAAGACTACTACAAGGGACAGAGTGCAGCGTTGCCGAGTGAATACAATGAAGAAATGAAAGCCCTTTTCCAATGTTCCGCATGTGATGCGGTCTGACACTACAATTGAGGAATTCACCGCCGTAAGGCAACAACCGAGCTATCGAACTCTCTCAAGGACTCTGGTAAGCCACACATAGTATTTGAAACCAATTGGACTTTGCACCAATCATGTCGTCGTATTCTTGAACAGAACATGGCCGATAAAATCTCATCACAATGCATTCATACCAGTCATGATGTGTCGGCTTAGTACAAGCCGTGCTCGCAGCGCACATAAACGAAAACCTCGCACACCTCATATACACGTTGGCCAGTTGAATTCCATGGTGCGACCTGGCAGTGGTCGACTGCATCGAGATGGGCCGACGGATAATTCAACCAGGTTACGCAGTTTGGTCGAGAACGAATGCCACTCCTACTTTCTATGTCAAGATGGAACACATGTATATGTATTATCAAGATTATTGCACTATGCAGGTCACAGAGAGCATTCATTGTCATCGGAACACTCGCTGTTGCTGTCTGACGAATTACATACTTCGATGTTGTTGTCAACTCTTCCCATATGTAAATGGAAAAGTTGCATTATTTCTTCTGACGTTATGATGCATCCACGAATGACGGCAGGTGTGAGATATACGAAGGCGCGATGCACACGACTGATCACCTACGATGCTGTAGCGCAGTGACGGTCGCCTTTGCCCTTTATAATCGGCCAAACAAGCTCCATGGGCTGCAATTCGATATGATGCGGCGGCGTCAACATTGTATTGTGTCCCTAAGACTTTGCCATTGTTTCAACTTCGATTGCAATGTATTGTTGCATGTAAATGGCCAATTCTGACCACACCACACTTTTGACGTCGGTTTGTCGTACTCTACTCCGTGTTTTTCGCACGCAGAAAGCAAAAGCTTCTTTCCCAGTTGGATTTTGGCGTGGCAGTGGCAAGGGCTTTGTGATATTTGGAGTTGTCCATAATAATTGTTGAGTTTACAGCAGTCCAGACCAATCCACAAAATAGGAATGATTGAACTTCCCATTGTAGTCTTTGGTTTCCGTTTCGCCGATTTTGCCACCTCCAAAAATAGACTTGCACAATAGTTTGGTGTTAGCACCCTCGATCGACAACAGCAAGTTTGGACACCATTTGAGAGACGTAATCATACCTAGCCAGAGCATATTCCGCAGATAATTTGTAAATCACCACGCCTTTCTTCTTTGTACGCTTGTAACCATGCCACACCAAATATCGCTGTACAGAACGGAGGCACGTCGTGCCATCGTTTACTATTTCCATATCAAAATCGACACTGCGCGGCCAAACAAAAGGCCCAATATGTCTTTGCAACGGTCCGTGTTCGATCTTGTCGTTGTCGCACAAACTCCTGAACCAAGGACATAACGTTACAAAGAACGTACTTCGTTTCAGCCACGCAGATCGCATGCACAGTAGTGTTGGATGGTGGTGGCAAGCGAACGTTTGGACAAAAAGACCCTCCACACACCGTTGACATCCTTTTCATTTGCCCAAGCATACGAGCGATTTGAACTTCCAGAGTCCCAAAGTAGCCGTGGCAGGCATGAAACCTCGGGATGTCGAGACGGTCCTCCTTTGTGAGCGCACGCGACCGGGTTTGTTTGACAAAGGCAATAATCTCATCGTACTGGTGTTCAGCTCATGCATGCTGAAAGGGAACTTTCAGTGGCTTCAGCTTTCAGGAGTTTTGCCTGCAACGCTGTATGATTGGAATTTCCGACAATTCATATTGTTCGGGTGCATCAGTTTTGGTGGAATTATTTATATTTCAAGGTTCGAAGCGACAAATACTCAATTGCTTGAGGAGCACTTCTCGCAAGATGTACTGATTTCAAATAGTTTCGGTTTCTGCAACCATTCCACATACAAGAAATTTGGCGTGTTTACCTTCAATTGAGCAAAATATCGAATTTTGGCTCTTTGATACAGTCGACTACGGTGAACTAATGCGCGCATTGAACTAAAGCACAGGAGCGCGCCTTCCTGGTTCGTCTTCACGGTAGTGACACCGCAAGGTTCCGCCTCCAGAAAGAGCGGCGATCCTGCCGATCGCTTGGGTGCTACGATCCGAAGCTGTCGATAGCAAAGCCACGATCCCGCATTTAACCGCATCGCACATGTTTACAACAGGACAAACGAGACTGCCGTGGTGATCGCTGTACGGTCTGGAACAAAACTACAGCCGTACCAACTTTTTCGGATGCTGCAATGTTGTATCGACATCAATCTTTTTGACGCATGGACCAAAGAATGCATTTGCAAATGCGGCCAGATGTATGTGTGTGCGGAATGCAGTGCTCGAAAACCCACCGCGACAGTCGACAAGACCCAAAATTTGGGTGGGGCAAACGTATAGTCGCACAACAGTTTCCGCGCCAAATCTGACGATTGGATTCGCCTATCAACCAATGGCGTGGATCAAAAGAAAACACACATCAAATGGATGGCGCGCATGTTTGACATTCCTCCAATATGCCCACAAAGACGCCAAGAGGCAGCCATTTGACAGCTGTAGAGATTGGGAAAACAAAAGCCTTTTCACCACAAGGAAAATCGAACCGTTGGATTGACAACGAGCGCGGCGGAGTGAGAAAGCCATTCGCAACTATGGAAAAAGCAGATTAATCCACAGGCAAAAAAGCGAACAGGACGGGGCTTTGTGTTCAAAAAGCCAGATATCCATAGCACTTTTCGTCTTGCAATCCATAAACAACAAACGCCCGAAAGATCGCGGCAATCATGACACCACGGACAAATTACACGACAATTTTTGCGTATCTTACGCAGCACTAAAATTCGTGAAGTACCGATAGCAAGAGTCTGGTCCGTCTCTGACAACGGAACACAAGCGAGCACGATTCAACTTCGCAGCAAAGTACTCAAATAATATGTAGATTGGCTGTTTACCTGCTTCTCCGATAAGAAGTACAACCTAGACGTTCCAGACGGATTTCAATACTGCTGGCATGACTCCCGCTACCGGAAGAATGCTACTCGAGTCGAGTCGGCAGTGGCCGAAGTGTAATGGTTTGGGGCGACTTTTCCAACAACGGCAAGAGCGAACTCGCATTCCTACAAGGAAGTCAAGACTCAAACAAGTACTGCGAGACGGTTGACTTGTACCTCGTTCCATTTCTTGTGAATTTGGAGGCCATCCATGAAGGAAGATCCATTGCCTTGCAACAAGACAACGCCTCAATTCACGTTTCAAAGATGAACCTAGCCCATCTGAGGAAATTGCCTGCATTGTTTGGCTGTTGCAGTAGGGTACTGAGCGAATCGATGCTTCGATTTCTTCGTGCGTTCTTGATGGCTAACGTCGTGCAGAGACTACCTCCAAGTAGCCGTGGCAGGCATGAAACCTCGGGATGTCGAGACGGTCCTCCTTTGTGAGCGCACGCGACCGGGTTTGTTTGACAAAGGCAATAATCTCATCGTACTGGTGTTCAGCTCATGCATGCTGAAAGGGAACTTTCAGTGGCTTCAGCTTTCAGGAGTTTTGCCTGCAACGCTGTATGATTGGAATTTCCGACAATTCATATTGTTCGGGTGCATCAGTTTTGGTGGAATTATTTATATTTCAAGGTTCGAAGCGACAAATACTCAATTGCTTGAGGAGCACTTCTCGCAAGATGTACTGATTTCAAATAGTTTCGGTTTCTGCAACCATTCCACATACAAGAAATTTGGCGTGTTTACCTTCAATTGAGCAAAATATCGAATTTTGGCTCTTTGATACAGTCGACTACGGTGAACTAATGCGCGCATTGAACTAAAGCACAGGAGCGCGCCTTCCTGGTTCGTCTTCACGGTAGTGACACCGCAAGGTTCCGCCTCCAGCAAGAGCGGCGATCCTGCCGATCGCTTGGGTGCTACGATCCGAAGCTGTCGATAGCAAAGCCACGATCCCGCATTTAACCGCATCGCACATGTTTACAACAGGACAAACGAGACTGCCGTGGTGATCGCTGTACGGTCTGGAACAAAACTACAGCCGTACCAACTTTTTCGGATGCTGCAATGTTGTATCGACATCAATCTTTTTGACGCATGGACCAAAGAATGCATTTGCAAATGCGGCCAGATGTATGTGTGTGCGGAATGCAGTGCTCGAAAACCCACCGCGACAGTCGACAAGACCCAAAATTTGGGTGGGGCAAACGTATAGTCGCACAACAGTTTCCGCGCCAAATCTGACGATTGGATTCGCCTATCAACCAATGGCGTGGATCAAAAGAAAACACACATCAAATGGATGGCGCGCATGTTTGACATTCCTCCAATATGCCCACAAAGACGCCAAGAGGCAGCCATTTGACAGCTGTAGAGATTGGGAAAACAAAAGCCTTTTCACCACAAGGAAAATCGAACCGTTGGATTGACAACGAGCGCGGCGGAGTGAGAAAGCCATTCGCAACTATGGAAAAAGCAGATTAATCCACAGGCAAAAAAGCGAACAGGACGGGGCTTTGTGTTCAAAAAGCCAGATATCCATAGCACTTTTCGTCTTGCAATCCATAAACAACAAACGCCCGAAAGATCGCGGCAATCATGACACCACGGACAAATTACACGACAATTTTTGCGTATCTTACGCAGCACTAAAATTCGTGAAGTACCGATAGCAAGAGTCTGGTCCGTCTCTGACAACGGAACACAAGCGAGCACGATTCAACTTCGCAGCAAAGTACTCAAATAATATGTAGATTGGCTGTTTACCTGCTTCTCCGATAAGAAGTACAACCTAGACGTTCCAGACGGATTTCAATACTGCTGGCATGACTCCCGCTACCGGAAGAATGCTACTCGAGTCGAGTCGGCAGTGGCCGAAGTGTAATGGTTTGGGGCGACTTTTCCAACAACGGCAAGAGCGAACTCGCATTCCTACAAGGAAGTCAAGACTCAAACAAGTACTGCGAGACGGTTGACTTGTACCTCGTTCCATTTCTTGTGAATTTGGAGGCCATCCATGAAGGAAGATCCATTGCCTTGCAACAAGACAACGCCTCAATTCACGTTTCAAAGATGAACCTAGCCCATCTGAGGAAATTGCCTGCATTGTTTGGCTGTTGCAGTAGGGTACTGAGCGAATCGATGCTTCGATTTCTTCGTGCGTTCTTGATGGCTAACGTCGTGCAGAGTCTACCTCCGTGTCCACACGATTGTCTCGTTCGAATGTTGCATGTCATTGCTAAGAGGGAGAGTTTGTAGTAGTTGTAGAGGTGTTGAGCTCAACTCAGCGGATGAATTTGTCTGTAATTGGCCTTTCGACCAGCCAGTTTTGGAACGCTCTAGCGCCTGATGCAGGACGCGGTGAAACCATCCTATGCAAAAAGACGTCTCGCGCCTTTGGATTGAATCTGCGATATGGAGTATCTTTAGAAAACTCCCGCCAATCGTGAAGTAGCATTTCGCAACCGAGTCGTACTGGTTTTGGTCGATGCAACCACCCCACAGCCAAAAATCTTGTGTTCGCAGGGCTAACGTCTGCGCCATTTCACTACTTCCAGTCCAACACATTCACGCATGCTTCGACGTTGTTCTTGTCCAGCTCTTGCCATGTAAAGTTTGGAGTCCAGCCTATCGACAGTCATCATAAACATTGACTTACGTTAAGTGCGAGTTTACGTTTTTCAGTTTCGCCCAATACAGAGATCCCTCAATTTTTGCTCCCAGTGCAACTCCATGTCAAGGTCAGGAAACCGCGGGCGATGAAAGTTCTTTCGAGTCTTATCTGACTCGTCCTGTATGTTGTAGGAGATCGTTGTTCTTTCGTCCTTGACGATGCGTCGGATAGTCGTTATGTGCACAGTGTGTCCCAACTCATGTGATGCCCACGTTTGGAGTTCAGACGTCTTCAGAGGCGCGTGAGCTTTAAAGTGTGCTCTAATTAAGTTCTTCTGATGAATGGTCAATCGCTTGCTTCCCGCTGTCTTGTGCTGCATTTTCTAAAGTGTCTTGCACTACGTGGAGCCAATGCTGCCTCACATTTTGAATTTTGAATCACCAAGCATCTCAAATTCAAACCATGTTCAAACCATCCCAGGAAACTTGATATCAAATCATGCTAAAGAAGATGTTCATTTTCAGTAGGGAGCAAAAATTGAGGGATCTCTGTACTTCTGACTGTGTGTGCTTGTCAAACGACTCCTGATGATAGGGTCCGAATGTGAAGTTGGGTACAATGATTGTATATCGACCGACCCTTGCCGCCTCGGAGAAGAACTATTCCCATTCGAGATCCAACTCGAGCGGGAAACGTGCAATGGCATCCTGCTGCCGAACCACAGAACACATGCCCACAACAGGAGGAACGAGACTGACGTGATGATCGCCGTACGGCCAAGCACCACTTGCCCTCATCACCCGAACATTGGACATCTCGTCGTTGAGCAACATGCCATTACGATATACCCCCTGGTT